CCTTTACAAATTAGTTTCAGCAAATACAGGGTGATTTTTGGTGATTCAGATGAGGAAGGCACCAAAGATATTGATTTTCTGGATATTGATGAAGATGACGAGGAAAGTGATGAAGTGAACAGTGAAAGTGGCAATGAAGGAGCTTCGGACAGTGACAGTGAAGAAGAAGAAGAATGATGGACAACTGACCTCAGTAACATTGTTGTTGACAAATTTTCAGCACAATCTGGAATTGTTGTCAAAATGGGAGTCAACCCCAAAGCTGATGATTTTTTTGGTTTGATGTTTGATGAGGATCTTTTTGAGAAAATCAAGGAGGAGACACACCACTATGCTTGCATGATGTTTGCAAACCCGAAGTGAAAGCTTACTTTGTGGGTTATCATGGGGATGCATATTCTTCTACTGATCAACAGACATTTTCCAGGGCAATGAAGGAATAAAGAGAGTTATGCCTAAAATCCAATTCGAAGAAATTTTCACATCTAAATGACTTGAGTTGGGAACCCGCGCAAGGAGATGTAAATTTCAACTGTCTGTACAAATGCTGTCCTGCTTTGAATACCGTTTTAAGAAATATTCAATGCTGTTCTTTGCCCACAAAAAACCTATCGGTTGATGAGAGGATGATAGCATTTAAAGGCTAAACCGACAAAATATGGAATTAAAGTGTGGATGGCAGCTGATTCTTCAAATGGTTATGTCATCAATTTCTATGTTTATTTATCACAGACAGTTGCAAATGTGGTACAGGTACATATTTTGGTTCCTTTTTAACATTGCTGCTTACAATGGTATATTCTGGAATATGAGTACTGAAGGATACGAAATCAGCAAAAACGACCACAAGCCCCTATTTGGTTAGAGTTGGGTAAGTGCCTGATAAATGGCTACTTGTATCAAAAGTGAGCTGTGAATCAAGTACTGGCCCAAGAACCCAGAAGAAACCACAAAGCGATTCATGAAAAAGGCCAAAAGAAAGAATGTGTGCAGTGCAAATCTGCTGGTAAAAAAACACCGAAAGGCTATCCAGTCAAAACAATAAATAAGTGCCAACAGTGTGGTGTTGGGTTATGCAAAGTACAGTGCTTTGCTGATTATCATAGTGAAGACACTTGAACATAAAAATTGATTCTATAAGTCTTAATTTCCAGTTTTTTCAACGAGCAGATCATATAAATATGCAACAGAAACTAAAAGTGTCATTCACTTATTCATTTAATTGTACATTTTGAAGTTTTAAACTTGTATTTTGGTCTTTTGACCCACCAGGAGCTTGGAACTCAGACTTCCGTAATGGCAGCAAATTCAAATTTTCGTTACGAACATGAAGTTTGATGCGACCTATCTTCAACAGCTTTGTTTAATTGTGTATTTTCAGATTTCCATGAGAAAGAAAAATGTTTCAAAATAAATTTCTATTGATCAGTTGGGTCTATAATGGCCCCCAAATTCTACTGAGCATGCATGTTTTGATTTTGGTTTAATATTTTGTGCAACTGCTCCAATTAGCTCCAGGAATAAGAGGCAGTTAGACTGTGAGACCTCCAAGAGTGAAAGGGTTAACTGCTAATTTGTTTTACCATTGGAGGTTTCCTTTGCAAAAAGTACTAGTATTTCTTAATATGATTTTCAATGCTCCTTTAAGGGTACACAACAGGAAATACATACCAGTAAACAATGTACAAAGTCTGGACCTCCAACTAAAGGGGTAAAAGAACCAAGCTAAAAAACAAAACATAACAACAACAAAAACTTAAGTAAACAAATTATACAATATGACCTTGCAGAGTAAGAAATTCATTTAACAGGATACGAAATCAGCGAGTTAGCCAAATTGGGTCTTACAAGAATGCTAAGCGGCCCAAATTGACCTTTGGGAATAGCCAAAGAAGTTGACATAAGTGTTGGATAGTTGCAATTGTACCAATGAAATTATAAGGTTAACTGCTGCTTAAAAGCCCTAGGCCTCTACCTTAAAGTAAAAGTTTAAGGTTGCCTTATGAATGCGGGAAGAGGCGGGAAGAGTGGGGGGAGGAGGTGGGGTGCTAGAATCTGGAGGGAGGGAGGGAGGCTAAGAAACTGAGGGTGCTTATAGTAAAAAGAAATTATGACAAGCAACAAATGTCACAACATTTACAGTGAATGTATGCTTTTCACTACATTTTTTAAATTAATATTTTAAGTTTTATAAATAAAAATAATCCAATAATTTATATAAAAAAGTACCTGTTCTGCAAGTGCTAAAAGGACCTCATCTTCATCATAAATTGTGTCTAAAGTGACAAAAAAAGGAGGAGAAAATTTGATCTGAGGCCTCATTCCTCCATTGAATTTACACTCATTAGAACATGTCCGTGGAGTACTGAATAAAAGAATGCCCATCTGATTTCACAAGTCCTTATCCAATTGCTCAATGGCCTTGATTTTTCTCCTTATTGTACAGTGGGTAGAGAGGGTGGGGCAGGCACTACTGCAAGCAGGTGTGGGAAAAACTTTTGCACAGAGCCTTCAAAGTGGACAATAGTTTTATTCTCTTTCAACATTTCTTGGACAGAATGATCTCGTTTGGTGGATCAGTGTACCATAGGAAGAAAAAATCTGTTAAGTGCTACATGTTATAAAACAATTCAAGTCAGTTTCTTTGTTTCAGATTATGACAACAAATTCAAGAAAAAGAAATACAATTATCAAGATTGGTAAGAAAAATTTAAGACCGACAAAAATTAGAGTCACACAAGTATGAGGAACACAAAGCTGTTCTTAGCTTCAAAAATAGTTGCTGCTAATGTAAACAATAAGAGTTGCAGTCAGCTTATGATTCACACCAGACTAGGAAGCCAAGAGGTTCACACTACAATACTCATATGGTACATGTACTTTACTGTAAGATTTTAACAAATACTGTAACGAATCTGCAATGCTATCTGTATCAGGTAATTAACGGTAACTTCTTCATGTGTACCCGACTGATTTACATGGCTATCATTTCAAAACATTCCGTAAGTCACAATAATACATTCACCTACAACAAGCAGCTAAAAATTTCGTACTCATGGATCTTGGCCCACTCATATGAGTGTACAGTTTGAAATACTCCTACTTTGTATTCTATGAAGACAGTTCAAAGATAGCTTTTGCCATCTAAACTTGATTTAATTAAGTCCTTACTGATTTCTTGTCTTTCGGTTAAATAGTTCTGCTTTTCTTTTTAATAAATCACATCACACTCTCATCGAAAGCAAATGTTAGTTTCCAAGACATCGATTGCGAACTCTCCACAACGATCACCATCAAATTTACACATAATTCTTCCTTTCAAGTAAAAATTGCATCTTTTCCAAATAGACACCAAAATCACTGCAATGGGTTAAGATACAACGGAAAAGTATGTATCACACAAATAAAGGAAGTGCTTTTTCCCTTAGATATGATACAAAAACCTTCGTATAAGACTTAGGTCAAACCCCGATCGTAGAATAGACCTAAGCACCGTACTGCATGGATGGAAGAATTTCTTAAACAATTTTTGCAATAACAGACGAGGAAAGTGTAGTATTTTAACTTACCGGTTAGAAAAGGTATGAGTTCACTTCTCGTTCTTTCTACTCCCAAAGCCAAGGCGATGGTCGAAAGTTTCTTGATGGAGTTCAGCCTCAACTACAGAACCGTTTTACGAAAGTCAAATTACAAAACAATTCAGGTCGACATCGCAGAAGGCTCGAAGTCAGACACAAACAGAATCATAAAATGTGACCCGAAACCGTTAAAAAAAGGAGAAAAAATAGAAGAAATAATATGGTTTCTTTCCTTACTTGAACATCCTCGTTTCGAAGCTCATCTATCAGTACAGCGATCGGGTAAAGTGAATCATCTCCGTCTCCTGACGCCATGTTATCAGTCGGCAAAACCCTTGTCGTTGCCGCTCTCGAGCCCGCTTGCAATTTACCCGTCAACACCTTCGCGCAAAATTATTCCTGTGTTCCTGGTTTTCAGTACCTGCCGATGTTGACCGCGCACGATCTCGAGCTAACCCGAACAAAAACCCGAACTTGGTCATCGTGTGGCCCTAAGAAGACTGTGGCAAGAACACATCGGATGGGCACATTGACTCTGGTCAATAAAGTCCTGAGGTGAATGACCTACCTTTCGATCGGCTTTAAGGAGGCATTCAGCTCATTTATTAGGTAGTTGGTAGCTTCTAGAGCTTTTTTTTTTCTAGTAATCGTCGACCTTTTGCGGTTACTTCCTCATTATTACAGCCCAAACTGAGCTAACTTTTTCTAGCTAATTAGCATTGACTAATCTTCTGGATGTAGAGTGTGCGCAACAGAGAAACATTTATTTCAGGGGTGGTTTCATGCGGATAGGGGGATATTAAACCCAGAAAATATCGCACATTTCTTTAGAATTAGAACTAACGGCTACACTGGCTCACAGTTTTGTGCAGCAAACACTCTCATGTGAAAAATCAAGCAGCCAGCTCACGATAAAGGCATATCTGGTTGTTAGTACAGTCAGACAGTGGTACTTGATCTTACTGAAGGTTATACACACAGCTGTAGAGTTAGGGATTTTGTGCGCGCTTGAGACGTTGAGAGGTGAAGCTTAGGTGAGACAAGCGGCCAAGCCGCGAGAGTTACAAGTTACTCGTTTGTGCCGGTCAATCGCCTTTTTTTTTAAAGAGCCTCCAAGTAAACTATAGCTACTCGGGCTCAAATTCAAAAGAACAGAATATCATAGTCGTATCGTGATCGTTGAAGCTATCGCAATGCTCAAATTGTCTGCGCCCCAGTAACCAGAGGAAGATGGAGACTTGGAAGAGGCCGCGTAAAGAACGCGGCTTGACCCATACTTTCTCATTATATTTGTACGCTACTATCACGCCTCGTTTATTAACTGATTGCTTAGAACAGGTCAGTGCAGGTTACTGCTCAGTCTTAGGCTTCCTCGGGCGTTAGCGACCGAGGAAGCCTAAGTACCAATGTGGTCATCTGGGGGCGATTGGAAAATTGAACTTCTCGCCATCATGTAATAACAGAGGAATAAATTCAGGTGATAGCATGGAGGAAAGTATCTCCTCTAATGCGGCAGATGCAGGGGAAGTTAAAGAGAACGAAATGAAGAAAGAGCGACCCACAAGCCTAGACTTAGATAAATGCGACGCAGGCAATGACGAGGAGGTTAAAATTCAAGACGGCAAGAAATCATCTACCACAAGGTTACCTGCACAGATCTAAAATCAAGTGTTAGCGCTCTTTGGGTCAAACAGGATTAGTACAGAGACCTCTTTCGCCGCCTTTTAATTTGTGCTGTATATTTTCTTATTTAAATTAGAAAACCGAAAGAGTTCTCCTCCTCCCAAGAGGATTTGCTGGAAAGGTTAGTAAATTTTCAGTGTGGGGTTAATTAACAGTGAGAATAATAGAAACGTCTAATTCTTCATAACAACATTTATGAACATATTTCTTGATTTTTGCGTTTCTAAATATATCGTATGTATGATTTAACTATTTTTTGCAATTTTCATGAAATCATTCAATGCAAAACGGGAGCTTGTTCTTTGACACTGCAGTTCCGTCTAATTGGTACAATTTTTGAATATCTTAGACCCTCATTTAATTTGATTGATATTCGAAATCCAAATTACAATGCAGTTTAAGATTGAAATCTTATGAATGTTTATATTTAAATTTCACACAAACGCTGCTTTGGTTTGATAACATCAGTACGTACGGGTGAGAACGCATTTACCAATCTTCTTAGTTCACTTACGGTGAGAGGATTTCTGAGAGGAAAATTATAATTACAAATTGCTGTTTTAAAAACAGATGTTTCAGGTTGTCAGATCTTATTATTATCCGTTTTTGGCTGCTTAAAACCGTTGCAGATTAAGTCCTCATTTAAAACATGGCATGGAAATCGAAAAACAGAAAAATGAAGCTTTGAACTCCTTTTCCTGGCCCAAAGACTTCAGGATTTGCATCAGTTACACTTTCACTATTAATGTTCAGCTGAGTGTTTTTCCCCACAGCATTTGCATAATCATCAATCAGTGAATTAGTATTGGCTTAGTGTAGACTAAGCTTTATTTAAAGTGGAGAGCTTTATGGCTTCTTCTTCTCACAGTAAAAAAAAAACAATTTTTATGGAAGTAAATTATGCACAGTAACAGGAGTAGTTTCCAGTGCTGTGGCTCCAAATGTTGATGTTTTCTTTCCTTTTAAACTCCCTTGACAGAATAAGAGGGTTTTTTAATGTAATTACATTAATTATACAGTAAAAAATTTATGACAACTGTACTGTCTAGTGAATAATGGGCTTGATGTTGTAACTGGGATATGTCTGGGTTTGCCTCAGTTGCAGTTTCAATAAGTTGTATTGCATGCAATATTGAATTTTGCAGTTGCGTGACCCTTTATACCTTACAAGTGACTGGCATCTAATTTCACCTAACAGTAATACTAAAACATCATTAAGATTTTGAGAATAAAGAAAATGGTCATAAAGCAAAGAAGCTTTGATTGCAAAATAAATTCTCCTTATTAGTTCTAAAGGAAATGTATAGAAAATAGTATCAAGAATATGAATACTGTTGTTAGGATGAAAGGGTTTAATGACTCATTTGATATGAAGTTTGTTATATCTCAGGTGAAAAAAACCTGGTATTTTTTTTAGTGGAAATTATTAGGTTAAGGTTAGGGTTTGGGTTTGACCATTGGATATATTAAAGTTTTGTCAGGAAAATATTCAAGTTAGAAGTATTTTTTTTACCTCTCAGGTGAAAGGCAAGGGGTTGATAAATTCTTTTATTTTTTGGAACAACTTTTACTAGAATTCACTTTGGTTTGCACATTAAAAAGAAAAAGTGAATAGTTTTTCCTTTCATGAACTGTGATGGGTATTTGAGTTATATGCTCTTTAACCAAAAGCAGTGATCAGTGAGTGTTTGAAGATGAGTAGACCTAATTTGAGAATCACAGGAGATTTTTCAATACCTTTACAGTCTTGATGATGGCGATGAAAGTGGCCAAAGAACTTCGCCTAGAAGGTACACAATGTGGATGACTGCTCTAGAAATAAATACACTAAACAACCATGGAGAAGGCTTTGTAATTACTTTCTGAAAGTAGTAGCTGTGCTTCTCTTGATATCTTTTAAACAAATACACACTGCATGTGGTCTAGAGGCATTTTTGTTATCCAACTGCACTAAGCAGAGTTCAATAATACTCAAATTGAGTACAAATATCCTGCTTTAGGATGTACCACATTGGTGAATGGTGCTTTTTGTGCACATTGATTGGTTGGTTCAGAAGTGATTAGAAAGTACTATTCACCTACAAGTAGATGGAGAGACAAAATTGTGCATCAACAATTTAATTTCTGATCATTTTTTATTACACTGACAAGAAATTAACTAATTTTTTGGTTTCTGTGTGGTACGTACTAAAATTATTATTCTTTTCAGTGTCAGTGATATTGGTGGATATTTCCAGCCTGTACCTTGCCACTTTGTGGCTTGGTAAATATCCACTACTTTTCATCTACTTTTCAGGAAATAATTGTTAAATATGGTCATTTGTAGGGCACAACTTGCAAAAATATGTGATGAGAGTACACACCTGAATGTCTAATAAGTTAAATGTACATTAACAACCCTTCCTCTTGCCTCAGAATTTTATTATTACTTTCCTGTCAAGAGGCAGGTGTAGATGGTTATAATTATTGTTGATAGCTTTCTCAACAGATGATAGTACATTGATGGGGCTCCAAGCTGAACTTTTTTAAAAGCCTTTGTTTTGTGGCTCAACGTCATAAAATGGTTGTAAATGTGGTCTATTTTTGTGTCATGAATTGTAATCACCAATATTCTTCCTATTTCAGTAAGAGTATAACACATAGTCTGAAATCAAAAATAAGGGATTTGAGTCCATCAAGGAGAGCAACACTACCCAATGCTAAACCAGAGAGAAAAGGAAGCAAAGCTGGGGATAAAGTCAGAAAATCACCGGTAAGTACTTGCTTTTTTGTACTGTGCTACCTCACCTGTTTTATTTTGTTATAATTATTATGTACAGTAACTCTCAGAGTGCTGAATCAAGTTAAATTTTTCTTCCAGAAGTCACCTGGTAATTGGCTTCCTGCTTCATTCAATCAGGTAGAGATGTATTGATTGTTATTTGATGGAAATTTGGTCAAATTAGATAGAGGGGTTTGTCACTCAGTGAGTTCTCATTGAACTGAACTTGAAATTTGTAATATTTTTTTTTTTTATGGGGAAGGGGGTCATGATTGTATCTGAGTTCAAATGATTTTTTGGAGTGCTCAAGCCCAGATGGCACGTTTTATTATTATTGTTTTATTATTATTACAGACTGTATTATATTATTGTTTTTCTATAACTGTCCTATTATTGCTGTATCACATCACTCTACCTTTGTAGATTTTTTCTAGTTATAAGACAAAATGTGGAGACTTCAAAAGATTATTTAAAGAACTTCCTGAGAGTGAGCAATTGATTGTAGGTAAGTCATTGTCATCATAGTGTTTAAAGCATACAATTTGATGCACATTGGGTGAAGTTGAACCTCATCTAATTTCTGTGACAGAGAATTAAATCATATAGTCACTAGAGTTTGATGTACAGGATAAACTTCTTGCAAGATGACCCCCATGTTGCAGGACCATAATTTTTGTTAATAAAGGTAAAGATTGAAAGACCTGGTGAGAGATTGAACACTTTACTTTTACATGAAAACTTGGAAAATGTTATTTGTAAACAAGAGCAACGACAAAGATATAAAAAGAGATTTAAATGCCTCACATAGGAAAAGATCCTTTTGAATGATGCAATCTGTTTTGCAAAATATTACTTGAATTTGAATTGTCCCAAAATTGAGAATGATTGATAACTTTTCTCTGTCAGAGTAATTATGTCTGTACCTGGGTGCCCTTGTTAGTTACAGCCAACATTTTCTAGGTATTAACCTTCAGCTCTGACAGCTGAACTGGATAAAACTTTGACTTGTAGTTCGCTTACATGCATTCAGTCTTTGTATCTTATTAGTTAGGACTACACCTATATGTACATGTAGTAGTGTAGAACTTTGAAATAATATTTCTAATAAAAGGACTTTGGACTCTGGTATTCCTACAAAGTGTTATTTTGTCCTTGTTCTTGGTAGCTTTTTCCATTTGTTTTAACATTTAAACCTGCTCAAATGTTCATTATACATTACTAATAAGAGTGGTTACTTTTTCCACTTGTGTCATGTAAAGACAGAAAAACATAGCTTTCTTTTTCAATAGTTAGTATTAATCTTTTTTTTTTGTTTTGTTTTTCACAGATTATTCTTGTGCATTGCAGAGAGATATTTTAGTTCATGGCCGCCTCTATATCTCACAAAACTGGCTCTGTTTCTATGCCAATATCTTTGGTTGGGAAACATTTGTAAGTGCTTTGTTTCATTAAGTTTAAGTTATATGCAATTTGAATCAGTGTTCCTATTGATGAAAGGAGAAGTCGTATATGTTACATTCATTAAAAAGATATAATTGGCTTTGTGGCCCCAGTTCTAGTTGTACTATAGGATAACATAACCACCATTTTGAGTAAATATAAACCTGTGTGCAAGCTGTTGCATGTGAAAATGAAAGTTTCTCCATTTAATTCCAATGTGACAAAATAAAAATGGTCAAACAAAACTGTTTAGGATATTAAGTCAAAGGGCTGTTGAATGTTCTTCTTTGAGTTAACTGCTGCCTCAAGCAAACTGAAAGATTGGTTCCCTGGGTATCTAGAGATATCCAACATGGCAAGCCAGCATCCAGATGCCACCAACACAGCTCCCATGGCTGGCAAGTATTTGCAACCCAGCCTTGAGCCCCCTTTCCAGATGGAAGAAAAAATCAAAGAATACCTAAGGCCAATTTTTGGATAAAATAATCTTGAAATGAAATATGTGTGCAAACTTATGATCAGTAGCCTTGCAATGTAAAGATTAAAGTGACTTAAGTTTCAAGGGTTTTTTAGTCTCACTTTGTGACCGTGCTTTAAAGCTTCTAGAAAGTCACTGAAAAATCCAGAATGATGGTTACCATCCAACTCTGCAGAATGATTAAATGCATACCTCAGGCAGTTTACAAAATAATATCCCGTGTTCATGAAATTTCCATTTGCAAAATTAGATGCTGTGATCCAAATCTTTCTTTTACCACACATGTCAAATTACATCCCTATGTCATGTTTTGCCTCACAATTTCTCAATGAACATGGGCTTTGTAGCATGATGATCTTTGTTTACAAAGATTTTTCCCACTTGCATCTGATGACAAACCTCTAAATTTTTTCTGCCACAGAAATGATGTACCTCAGAATGCATTTTTATGTGACAAGTTATTTTTTCACTGGTTGAAATTAAAGATATGTGGCACTGAATCAAACAAGTTTTCTTTTGGTTAGAAAAGCACAGAATTATTCACTGAGTGAGTGACTCATTTGCATTCAGAGTCACCATAAAAGCTTGTTTCTTCACTTCGGGTGTCAACAAGTTAAAAAAGGAGGAGGAGTGGTGAAGAAACACTTGAAAACTACCACTCATTCAAATGCTCAATGATGTTACCTGTAAGGAATAAGAAACCTTCCAAGATGGAACCTTTTGAAAAAATTAACAAAGACTTCAGTCTCTAACAACCAATTTGAGTGTATTTGGAGTGATTGTTATAATACTTGATCAACTTTGGTCAAGTTGGAATTGGATGTTTGTTTTTGGGCTGGTACTTCAATTTGTTTGGATCAATTTCCCAGAGCTTGACTTGTGGCTTCTCTGAGTGATGAGTTTTAAATGTGTCTGAATACTTTCTGTGTATCCCAATGTAGGTGACCATTCAGTGTAAGGATATAACTAGTATAAAGAAGGAAAAAACTGCGCTGGTTATCCCCAATGCAGTTCAAGTTTTTACAGAGTCTGAAAAGGTACACATAGTTTCCTTATATACTACCTTTGTATTAGCATCAAAGATTAGTGTGGCTAATATTGAAGATTACGGATAGTTTATGAGACACCTAAGATGGCTCAATCCTTTTGGCCTGAGTGTTTTTCTCTTCAGATTTTGGAGCTGTTATGTGTTATTTTCCTGTTTATTACTTTTCCCCTTTAATCTTAATGAAAACTGTGAGGTGAAAACAAATGGACATCAAAATGTTTTTAATCTAATTCAACTTGTATCAGTTTGGTCTTTTGTTCCAGATTGACTGACATAATTCTTCAGCAAAGGAAACACTTAGTTTAAAATAGTTTTATTGTGAACTCAATCTTCCAGATTGAAACAGTTTTCTTTCCCTGTCATAATTTTTTTTTTGAGTCAGAGCATAATTTTACTAGTAGCTGGAAATCACTCCATTCCAAATTTGTCACCATGAATGGTAACTTACTTCATCTCAGTTGTTTAGTAGATAATTACTTATTACTCACATGGTCTTGGTGTGGCGTTTTCCATTCAGAATATTTTGAACAAGGTTTGCAGGTAGTTTTGAAATAAAAACAGTATTTGTTAATGACCTGTTTTTGTGTTTTCAATCCATAGTATTTTTTTGCTTCACTGATATCAAGAGATACAACTTACACTGTGTTATTTAGGATTTGGCAAAATGCACTTTTAGATCAGGTTTGTGACCTTTATATTACTTAGCACATATTTTACCTTATATTAATAAGTGCCTTTATCCAATGGACTTGCTCTATTACTTATGTATGTATCTTGGTGGATCATTTCAGCCCATGACCCCATCAGAACTTATCCAGCTAGTTGGAAAGTACTCAGAAGGAAGAGAAGACAGTTCTGAGAATGATGATTCAGATGATGATGATGAAAAACATGGGGTGTCTGAAGACTCTGTAAGTGAGGATGATGTTGAAGGTGAAATACCCTCAGACAGTTTATCTTCTCATAGTCAAAGCCAGAGCTCTCTAGGAACTGAAAATGGACCAGGAAATCAGGTATGTTGTGGGTATGGTGTTAAAGCCCTGACAGAAGAGTGTTTGTGTGTGTCTGAGGGAGAGGAGGGGGGGGGGCAGAATGGTGGTACTTGGGTGTTCTACTTACTGATTGTTGAAAATACAGTTGCAGCTAATTTTCTAAGTCATAGATTTAGTGGGTGACAGTGTGTGGCCCCCATAATGTCTTTATTTTGCAGTATGATGTAAACCCATCTGATGCTGTCCTAAGATATGTTGCTTAAAACTGTTGAGCAAAATCTGTGGCATTTGCACAAAGCAATATGTCTGTAAAGAAAAATGGAAGAAGAAAACCCTAGTGCTTACCAAACTATTTTGACAGAACAAAATGGTCATTATTCCTTATAAATCTAGTGGTCTACAAGTATTGAAGCTGATTTGTTGTTACCCAGTTACTTGTCAGTGAAATTATCCCTTACAGTTACTCTACCCAATTTACAAAAAACTTGGTGAGGATAATAACTAGATGCCTTGACCACTCAGTTAGTTATCTACTTACTGAGTCTCCTGACCAATTGAAGAGTTTATCTTGGAGTAAGGGATACTTACATACATTATGTGCAATTTGTATAACAATCTATATACACATACATGTTTAAAGTGTATGTGTGATCCCAACTGTTGAAATTGTGCAGAGTGCATACATGGAAACAGTAAAGATGCCTTTTGATTTTTAGTATCTTTAAAACACCTTGACACAAAGTTAGTGTCTTCCTATTGCATCAGACAATGCATCATGCAATGCTTGCCCAACAATCACAATTTTTTTTGATCAAGTCATGTGTGTCAAGAAGTTAACACATGCAACTCTTCCCCATTAGACTATACCCAGCAAGGAAGGTGAAAGAGCACCAAAAGTGGCTATCACCCCACCTTCTCCAGGGGCATCATCATCACCAGGACAGGACTCAGGCCAGTTTCCAGCCTCTGAAGATAGGAAGAGCTCCAATGAGGCCATAACAGGTAGTCATCCCCAGTCCAGAATATTATCTCCTCATCTACAGCTTAAAAATTGGATGAGGTCTCCTGGTGTTAAAAAAAGAAAGGTGGATGTGGAAGATTCTGCCGAGACAAAGGAAAAGAAAGACCTGAGCAGTGATCTGGAAGAAGAGGGTACAGCATCTGATAACCATGAAGATGAACTGGAAGAACGTAGGAAATACAGCACTTGTGATACTAATAATCACAATAATTATACTGACGATAACAAATAACATTCCCAGTAATTTTAATTCTAATTATTATTTATTTGATAGCAAGAAGTTTGCAAATTTGCAATGCAACTTTGTTAAAAGTAATCATTCAGCTGCTGTTAAAAATTAACCCTTCTTTATAATGTGCACCAGCTATTTTGCATGGCTTTTCCTTTTTTTTTCTTTTTTAAAATATTATCATAAAATGTCACTTTCCACTAAAGTACATCAGCCCATCTTGAGTTCAAACATTGGTTATGCAGGAGAAGTATCTAATTCTTATATATTTGTGGTATATTCTCTATTTAGAAAAATTAGGTAAAATAGTCAAAGTGAGTGTTTAGTTTTATGGCAGGACACAAATAACATGTCAGACTGACATGCATGGAGTGTCTCTCTTCAGGATTTGATTGACAGCAAATCTGAGATTTTGATTAGCATCAAACTATGCTTGGATTGGTCTCAATCATGAAATAATCTTCTTGCCAAGACTTCAAAGTTTCAGAAAATTATTTTGAAGTTGCTAGATGGGAGAATGAATTCTGAGCTAGAAAATAAAGGGTTAAGTTGCTTTAAGTTGTGAGATGGTTTTTTTAAAATTAAATTAAATGTATTTTTCCACTAGTCCCAGTGAGTTGTATGTGTGAGGCTCATCTCAGCAAAGAGTTTTTTAACGAGGTATGTAGTACAAACTTCAGGGCACATTGATGTTAACAAATTTTTTTAAGCACTACAATCTGTAAACCAGCTGATTTGGAAATTATTTAACCTAACATGTGTTATAAGTACAACATAGTCATAATCTAAGGAATAGTCTTGCATGTAAAGGATTTATGGACTCAAACCAGTGGTTCAAGAATCATATTTTCAGATTTTCTTGTTTCTTTGTCTTTGTTTGCAGGAGTTTCCTGTTAGCGTAGATACGCTATTTGAATTCCTGTTCACAGAGTCTGACTTCTACAAAAGAGTACAAAAGGAAAGACGAACAAAAGGTGTGTATAGATGAACTCTTTACACCCTAACATCAATATGCGTTTATTCTCCCAACTGTTCTCTATAAATTTCCAAATGTGCTGACGAGGAGAATTTGTGTAACAATCACATTTTTTTTTCTTGTCGATGATCATTTCCTTTCTTCTCAAGACCTTAATGTGTAATTCAGGGTTGATATTGTAGGGAGAAATTAAAAACCGGTCACTTTTAAGGGTCACTCTTTACCTGTTGTTTTCATCGTAGTTCATTTATTTGAAGTAACACTTTCCTAACCGAAGAAAAAAATAAGCAAGTTGACGCCCACTCTTTTCTTTGAAAGTTACGCAAGTCCATTTAGGGAGTTTCATAACGATTTTTCGAGTCATTTATTTAGTTACGAGAAACTCAACTAGCTTCAACTTGATTGACCAGATAATATTACTGAGGTGGGCAGAATAGAAAACTGAACGCACGCAGCTGTAAATAAAGAAACAACAAGGCTGGATAATGAAAACTGGTTGTCGGTTGTTCTGAAGTAGATTTGCGACAAGTAATAAGTTACTTCGCCGCAATCGGAGAAGATTAGTGTTCAACTTTATGTCTTTGAAATATACAAATCTGTCTTCCGGGCTCTAAAATTGATTTGTCAAAGCTTGCATAAGAGACGCCGATGTTACTTTGTATACTTCACGGTTCCCGCGGAAATGAGGCACAAAAATGAGCTATGAATGAATGAACTTACAAACAAAACGCAGTACTGGTTACGTGTCTCACAACATCTACACGTGTGTCAAGTGTGTGTAATTCTTGGAAATTACACACGTGCTGCGTGCAAATGCCACGGGTGGTTGTCTCTTTTTGTTATTTTTTATTTTATCTCCTTGAATTCTGTATGATTTCTTGTACACTCTGTAGATCTGGGGTTTAACCCATGGGAGATAACAGACGATGGTCAGAGAAGAATACTTACTTATACAGTGTCACTAAACCACGCGATTGGACCCAAATTTTCGCCAACAACGGAATATCAGGTGAGCTTGGAGATGATTATATGTCACTTACCAGGGGTTGTTTTCACAAGTTTTCATTTTCTAAGAATACTATTAGAACTCATTTGCATGACGAATTTGATTGTAGTTACATTTTAAAAGGGAGAAATAAATAGATTCAACCTTGGCTTCCATTGGTAGTCTTCTGCGCACTCATTGTGTCGTATGTCATACAACGCGTATGACGTTACAAAATGGATGCGAAGGGGACTAAGTTTCTACTTAATCTTCTTCCTTCTAAACAAATTGCGGAGTAAATGATGGCGATATTGATGGAAAGAGTTAAGCTCTGTCCGATGAATCAGGGACGCTATGAAAGTTTGAAGGAATCACTCTCCAGGTCGTCGTCTTCATTAATGTTAACTTGTATTGTGATCCTCAGCATTGCTTACCAGGAAGTAGTCCGGGAAAGCTGTACGTTGTACAAGCTGAGGTTTGTGCTCCTCTACTGTTTGATTAGAAACTGTAGTAACCCTTTGATTAGCATCTCATTTCACCCCTGAATCACATACTAAGGTCTCAAGAATGAGCGAAATGATCACCTACTAAAAATTCTCTTGATTTTTAAACAAGTTCTCCTTGTCGACAGCTTAGGAGATGTATAGAGAACAGTATGGAGAATATGCACTATGATACTGACGTTAGGGTATTAAGGGTTGATAACATCTTTCACCGAAGCCATGTTAGGTTCTTGTATATGTTTTTTTTTCCTTTTAGCGCATGGGTAGAACGGTTGGTGATGGTTATAATAAATTTTTCGTTAACTTCTGACTGAAACGAGCGATTGTAAACAGTTTTATTAAAGAGTTTACAAAAGATGTATTATTTTCCGAATATGTGAGAAAGTCACTAGGTAGTTTTTGATCTTCACGACAAAATAAAGTTCCAAAAGTAATCACTGATTGATTTTGCACAACCTTTTCAACCAATCGCCTGCAAAAAGGAATATAAAAAAAACAAACCAAAATAGCACAATTTGTGTTGTCCGTTGTCTCTGTTTGAAATTTTTTCCTTTATTTTTTTATCGTAGCTGTGACAATTTTTTATTTTTGTTTTTGTTGTTGTTGTTTTTTTGACAGCAGTTGATTGGATCAGGTATTTTAGCCAAAACTTCGTATTTTTGAATGCCTCGTTTGATTTTCAGGTAAAAAACGATGGTATTCCTTACGGCGATAGTTTTAGTGTTCATTACAGATATTGTATCACTCGCACTTCATCTATGGCCAGCAGATTAAGGTACAATTCCATAGCATTGCATTTTGTATCCCGTATCTTTATTATCAGATCGCTGGTAAAGTGATGCTTTAATTTGATTAATAATAATCATTGTTACATGGAATTTATAGAATCTTGTGTTTGTTTATGCATGACTAGTTTGTGAATCTTGCTCAACAATATTGATTGTGTGACGCGGAGTGATCGAATGATAGGTGGCGTGATGCCATGAACACATCCTACGCATATTAAAGTTTCGTTCCGGTTAGCAGCTGCTCAAACGTATACCTGTTTCAGTAGTAGTCTAATTAATTTATCTGTAACCTACTGCTCTGCATTGGAGGAAAAGCGCAAGAAACACTGATTTATGAGTGAAAATTGCTCGAGTGTGTACATGAAATTTGCTCAAGTGTGTGACGTAAAATGATCAGCCGATATGTAGCGGTATGGCCTCATTTCGGTGTTACCACATACACGACACGTTCTCAAACGGCTTGATGGAATTTTTTCCGGTTAGCAAACCTGCTTCAATTTTACCACAGTCATTTGTATTAGTTGTCTACGTTGGTGAACTAAAGGAAAAGCTTTGGAGGCATAAAAAAAAAATAAAATTCATGATGATTCTCAAAAGTTGTGATGTTTAAACAGGTCTGGTACACTTTGTATGAAATGATGCCACATTTGACGACTGATAGGACTCCATGTTTCATGTCCTGTTTGTTTTGTTGATGTTCTATTTTTTGAATTTACCACAGAATATCAGCCGAAGTCAACTACCAGAAGTCAGTATGGGGATTTGTTAGAAGTGAGTATGCGTGAAATTCTTTAATCGTTAGACATGTTTGTATCTTGTGGTTGTATTTGAGTGAACTAATTTACAGTACGTAATATTGGACTCAGCTAGGCTAATTAAGGTTACTTTGTCGTTAACCGTATGTTTCTCGTCCCGTTTGGTTCCAAAACTTAACGATAAAAAGAACTACGACCAACATTGGCATTCTGTTCCTTTGTTTTTTCGTGGACATGTTGCCCTCTTAGCTTCAAAACTAGCTATCTATCTTCATCGTTGGATTAAAAGAGCCGTGAGTGTTTGCACGACTTTCATCAATGATTGTAGACTTATAAAACCAAACAAAGCCATTCTTCTCGCTGAGGCAGTTAACATTTCACTTCGCGTTATTAGAAGAACTTGGGTTACATCAGGAAAATGGTTTGCCTCGACCGGTTTTGCCCACGAGACTTAGTATTTGTGGTCAGCAGTTCGTTTTTGTTCAAGTATCGCGCAAAATTTTCATAATCAAATAGTGCTTGATTTACTTCGTCTAAAGGGTACAAAAAGAAATTATTTGAGTATCAAAATTCCGTCTTTTTGTATAATTACTTACTTGGAAATCATTCGTAAATCTCAGTTCTTTCTCTTTGCATGATTACTTATTTGGAGTACAACCTCTGATCATGATCAATTAGATGACTGCTTTAGTAATTGTATTGTTGTCCGACAAGCTCATTCAAATTTTGAAAGTCTTGAAAAACCTGATCGTGGTAGTGCATTTTTAAACTTTCGAAGAGAAAAAAAACAGTAAAGGGATATAAAGGAGATGTATTCGAAATGGGAAACTGACATGAAGATCTTCAAGCCGCTGGAGTATCGAACTGCACATGTGGTAGAATCTCTTCGGCTTTATTCGCCATCTGTCCGATTCTCGCTGTGAATGCATGCACGGATTCTGTTGTGGAGTCGAAACAATGTATAATTTATGACACCCAGCAAAACAGTCGCAGTACTTTTATTGTTGTGTTCATGAAATATTTATTGTATTGGTCGCACGGAGGGTTTTAATTGGTAGATGGTTATTTTCTTAGTGTGATTATGTCTGTGTTGTATGATTGTGTGTCGTGCCTGTAAATTGGTCTCCGTGTTTAGAAAAGATTCTTGTAAATTCAGCCCCATGAACCAGTTGCAACAATCAGCCATTCCGATCCGAGGTTGTGGATTAAGGGTTTGGATACATGTTATTTTTTTCAAAAGTAGTTTGAATGTGTGCTTTTAAATTCTTCGTAAATTTCGTTCGTAACCCTTCACCGATAGGATTAGGTAGACAACATTCATTATGTAACTCAGCTCACTGAGGTTTTGGTAATTTCCAAGGTCACACTGTTTTGAAATTAGATTCTCCCAACATGTATTGACTAGCGTGCAAATTTATTAGTTTTGAGAGATTGGCTTTTTACAAGGAAGGATGTATTCCCGCTCTGCACTGGCGAGTGTAAAAAGCCAATAGTACGAAATTAATGTTTCAAGGCAAGTTCATTAATTCCAAGATTAAGCTGATTTCCATAGAGTAATGCTGCAACATCAAATCCTTGCAATACCATCAATATAGTTTGGATTCTAGTAAGATGGTGTCAAGCTGGCGTAAAAAAATAATATCAAAACTAAACATGTTAGAGCAATTTTTCCTTGAATTTTCATCCTCGAATCACAGTTCTTGTAATATTCTATAAAACGACCAACCCAAACTTAAGCTGTTTTATTTGGATTGTCCTTTAACTTGGATAAAATTTTGTTTACAGCGGATTTTTTAAAATCAAATTTTAACGCCGTGTTGTTAATTTTGATGTTAGTTCCGATGATTTAGCTAAAACCTGTGACGTATTCTGTACTTGAGGTTACTGGGATGACGTGAAATTTCTACATTGAAAAGAAAATTGGTTTTGTACGAGTTCTAATCTCGGGAATTCGAATATTTTTCTCAAATTTTCGTCGACGCTCTCGTGTATTTCAGACTCCAGTCATCTAATTAGATAACAGTTCGGATGCTGAACCGTTTGTCGAGTGTTGTCAAGTTGGTAGGGAGGTCATCTTGTAACGCGAGGACAATAATTGCGGGCTCAGGCCTCAAAATCTAGCACTTGTTTGTTGATCATATGTCCTTCCCTGTTCTCATGGGAGCTACCGCTGTACAGGAACTAACCATAAACGGTTTTGCGTTTTGCGTTATAGATATGATAGAGAAGAATGCATTGGAAGGTCTTGAAGGTTACTTCAAATTTTTAGGTAAGCTGCTACCTTTTGCGTATAAAAATTTCTTCTCTTCATAGGAAGTCTTGAAAAATGCGATTGTATGATGGCTTGCTACGTTTCTAAACGATGTAATGAGTAGTTATGGCGTTTTATCGTCATAGCTGAGTGGACGAGACAAATTAGATAACTCGGAGCAAGAATGATCACTGATAATAAATCGAACTCGTGATGTGTTACAAGCTATAGGCCTTGAAATCTTCCTTGACCACATGGGGGGGGGGGGGGGGGGGGGGGGGTGTCAAACATTATGGCCTTTAGGGAGGTTCTTCTCACAGTAATAAAGCCTAGAGGTTGTGGAAGACTGGCTTGTTTAACCATTCGGTTTGTTCTGGTCACGACACTTCTTTCAATAGGAGTTCTTTAGAGGACAATTATTTGACCGCTGCTGTTTCGATTGATCGACATCTCTCGTATGCAAATATCTTACCATCTCGTGACTCTGGGAATGAAAACAATGTTATTTCATTGAGTGCCGTTTTTTTTATCGAAACAATGAAGTTATTATCAAGTAGCGAGGGGGGAGGGGGGGGGGAAGTGGTGAAGTGCTATTGATACCACCATTCTTCCTTCCCTGGCACTTCTCTTTCCTTTTTCTCAATAAACTCGTACAATATACCTCACGTGATGTCGGTTTTTTTTTCTCATTTGGGCAGTGGAGAGTCTGAGAAGAGAAACTACAGAAGGACAGTGGCCTAAGAAAAGGAAGACATCGCCAACCAGGAGACATAAGAGGAACCGTAGTATTAAGAGCAAGGAATCAATGGAAACAGCCACGGAGAAGACTGAGCGTAAGTTCCGCCGGAAGCAAGAGTGATTTAGTCAGGTTGTCGGAAGTGATTAAACCGGAAATATATCAGACTCCTCCTGTGACATCTTTTTCTCGAAACCCACGTGAATCTAGTCATACTGAATATGAATCTAGTCTTTCACTTAATCTGATCAGCAGACTGAAACAGTTTTAGTAATGTGTTTGTTTTAATCAGTTTGGAAATTCAAATTCGGTTGATCAACATGATTGTGTGAAATAAGGTAGCTTGTGACAAGAAGGTCTCTCGTAGATGACACCATCTACGAGAGACCTATTTACACCTAGGTTTATTTCTAATTTGTTGCTGTTTCAGAGGTCCAAACAGGCCTGCTGCAAAGATTATGGCCGAAGACAGCAATATCTGGCTTGCTAGGGTTAAGGTGGGTGATTTAAGAAACTCGTTATTTACATTTGCATAATCTGCGGTTGGCTGGTTGCTGGTTACTGGGCCAGCAACGCAGCTCATTGTAGTATAGACTCATTACGCGTGACAAGAGAAGATAATGTTAATACACGGGAACCCCCCCTCTCAAGTAAGTCTTGGTCCAAAGGCATCCCTCTCTGGCTCTGTTTGTCCATTATCTCACTTTTTATACTTAAGCTTTCATTTGTTTTTCCTTTTCATTAAGTCTTTTTAATCCTTTGAGTGCAGAGGTCTGTTCTTCGCCTTAAAGGTGCCACACGCTTCCTTGAAAATTAGTTGATTGAATTTTGTGTCAAATGAAAAAGCTTTTTACACCTGTTTGTTGCACAATATAATGAAAATGTAAGGAGAAGGAACGTGGTAGAATACTCGGCATTTTCCTCGAAAAAATATTTCGGTACAGAAAAAGTAAAAACGTTAAGGTATTGTGATGTACCAGAAATGGTACGATACAGTTTTATTGTGAACGTAGCGTTGTTCTCTGGAAACGATCTATGATGTAACGGTTTAAGAGTAAGGAAACTATAATAGAAAGAAAAAAGCTTTTTTGTATTTAGGTCTAACGAGGTGTTACGTGCTTCCCTTGACCGGCTTTTTTATTTGGTTTTATCATTGTAACTTGCTTACTCTTTATTTCACACTTACCAATGGGAAACGGTAGAATATTGTTTTTTTTTTTCCCATAGATCCTATGTGCCGGAAGTTGCAGTGAAAAACCCCCTTGCCTTGCTTGTGACATTACTGTAAGTTGCAGACATTTTCATCTTGCAGCTTAAAAGTGGGAAAGAGAAAAGGAACCAAAAAAAAAAATAATAATAATAATAGAGAAAAAAAAATGAAACAGTCAAATATTATGGCCTTTAAGGAGGTTCTTCTTTCAACAATGAAGCCCTGCGGTTGTGGGAGACCGGCTTGTTAAACCATTCGGTTTGTTCAGGTCACGACACTTCTTTCAATAGGAGTTCTTTTAGGGGGCAATTATTTGACTGCTACCGTTTCGAATGATCGACGTCTCTCATATGCAAATGTATTACCATCTCATGGCTCTGGGAATGAAAACAATGTCATTTCATTGAGTGCCGTTTCTTATCGAAACAATGAAGATTTTGTCAAGCAGCAACAATTCATAAAGTAGCGAGAAAAGTTATTCCATTTATATACGCTATTCTTAAGAGGGAGTTCGCGAATCATGTCCGAAGATTCTTTTGAAAGCGCTTGTTCCATTGACGAAGTGTGGTGTTTTCGTAACAAGGCACTGTGAGTTCTTAACAAGTTCATCTTGTTTATTTTGATTATACTCCTGAATAACGATATGCTTAATATTAATTTGCTACTCAAACGGCGGTTTACAACCTGGTATTCAAATAAAGTGTTCTCCTATGGACGAAACTTCGAAGAAATATTATTTTGTCGATTATCAAACAAAGGAACATTTAGATATCACCTGTTTCTAAAAGTTCCGCATTTCTTTGAGTAGAAGGACGCGTGTAGTAGTTAGTATAAGTTTAATTTTCTTGTTCGTCGTTAAGTCGTCCGTCAGGAGGCATTTTTCCAGTTTACAAGATACTCGAATAATTTCTTGGTTCTCGTCATTCCTTGTCTTCCGCTTTGCATGCACAGCTGATTATTTCTACTTCAATCAGTGATAGTAATTGTTGTTACTTCGATCGCAAATTCGAAACCGTTATCGTTGCATCACTGAAAAACTAGAATTAAGAAAGGCAATTCCTTGTGTATGCGGTAGTTAAGGCAGCTTCGTTTACTTTTTTCAAAATCCACCAATTTTTCTTTGCTCGCCGGGCAGTCGTGGATTGTTTGACAATTTCCGCTTCAGCCTTGCTTTTAATATCTTGGATAACTAGCTCTACTCTTTACAGACAAAATGTTTTGAAATTAGTGAAGTTAACATTTCAATTTTGCATTGTTTCGACAAATTAAAGCGAAACTCGCAGACGGGCCGTGACCGAAATGAATGTGTGATGTTTAACTGACGTAGCTCTAATACAAGCTAACGTAAGCTTAGTAGCTTCTGTTTTTAATTTTTAGAAGTTTAGTCCATCCCAAAGATCTAGCAAGGGGTAATATTTCGGACAGGCCACGATCTTCTTGGAAAAATTTAATTAGCTTTGAAAGAGATGGGCGCTAGAAGCTAACGAATGGTCATTTGTCAAGTATTTTGACAAGGACGCCTTTTGGAGTTATGTATTCAGTTTTAGAAATGGCGTTGAAACCTACAGCGCTTTTTGTTATGTACATCTTGTCTTTATTTCGGTAATGCGCTTGAATTTTGAAAGCACGAAGGTACAGAAGTCTATTATTACCGCAAACATCTGACTCGGTGCCTTGAAGCAGTAGCAAACGCGGAGCGCCGACTGTTGTTTATATCCACTCGTAGGACAAACGATTTGCTGTTGTGCGAGATAACCACTAAATATACTCTTTTAATTTGGTATAAGGGATCCTGGTAAAAGAAAAAGGAACGAGAATTTTGTGGGTGATGAGAACTGACACGGATTTCAAATGAATAACTTGAAAAATTTAGGCATAACTTTTCAAGATGAACAGACTTTGACGTAGGTTTGGTAATCCTTGGCTTATAAGAATACGAACGATAAACGACTGTCATCAAATTTAACACCAGCGTAATAGTTGTTATACCAATTTGGATGTGGCCGACTTGTTTTCACAAGAACGACTGCATTCATCCTTTAACAAATAACGTGTAAACCCCTTGTAATCCGTGCCACTGCAGCTGGTCACTCTACAGAACGACTGCAGTCATCCTTTAACAAATAACGTGTAAACCCCTTGTAATCCGTGCCACTGCAGTTGATCAATCTACAGAACGACTGCAGTCATCCTTTAACAAATAACGTGTAAACCCCTTGTAAATCGCGTCGTCATTTTGTATTACGTGGGGTGTACATCATAAACGGACCTACATATCGATGATTTGAGTAATTTACGTACCTTCAGCTGGAGTGACACCTCGGTACACGTTTGTCTATGTAGAAAAGCACCGAAATGGCGGTAACATGCTAAAGGATGATTAAGAAGACTGACACGGGTTGTAAATTCCAAATTGGAATAATTTAGTACACTTGAATTACACAATATCGACAAACCACACTAAGTTCGAAGCATGTCATAACTGATTTATTTAATATGTTAGTTTTGTCGGGAAATAGTCGAAGTTGATCACTGATGTTTTTCCTTCTCAGGCTTGGGGCATTGCTTTTTTTGAACTTGGTTCTCGTGTACAGATTGTTTTTACTTGAACGTGCGACTCAAACAGGAATTTACTGGGATGGTAGCATCAAGTGAGTTTGTTAAAATTCATCCAACCGCTCCATTTTCTCGCTGCAAACTCTGCTGTTCAGATGTAGAAGTATAACCTTTTTCCACTATTTAACTGTTTTATCTGGATGTTTGTGATTTACTAACCACAATGTCTTCATGAACTTTGACGCTGAGTGTATAACTTTCCTTGCAACTAATTCATTTCATTGTAGTTTAGGCTTATTTAGGGTCAGAATTTGCCAAGTAGCGCGATTGAAGTTTGAGGTGCATTCTGATCTAATACTCTTCTCTGAGCCTGGGGTTTTAACCTCTAGTTTACTGTTAAGAACAGCGTAACGTCAGTAAGTCGATTGAAAATCCCAGAAGATTTTTGTTGGATTCTGTTAATTGTCAGGAAATATAATATTATTGTCACTATAATACTGTTTGCTTTTGTTAGGGATTTCCCTGCAGATGCCAAGAAGTGGGCAGAACTTCTCCAACAACAGAAACATATCCAAGAGATAGAAATGAAAAGGTGATTTAGTCCATGACTAGCTGTTAGTAGCCTAGTTATACTATTCCTTGGTGTGACTCAGGTTTAGAATGACGTGAGGTGTTAACTCTGTTGTTAGTCGCGAATCTTAGTGGGACTGTTTTCAATTGTTAATATTCTATGGAAGGTACTGTTTTAGTACTAACAAAGTGAAAACTTTTTGGTTAACCTTTTCTATAATTTCCTTCTCGTTAAGTTTGCTTTCTTTTTTTTCCTTAAGGTGGCGAGAAGTCCTTGCCTCATCAATTCAACTTATGAACCAGGTATTGTTTCATGTCCTGTCGTAAGAGTAATCCCAATGAAGAGAGACGAAAGTTATGATATTGGGCAGCATGCGCTGATGGAAAAATCCTCCTAAATTGCGGAAGAGATATCGATTTTTATCTGTATTCTTCTATAACCAATTGGCAGTTTAGGCACTCGTGTATAAAAGATTACGTAACTTAGGCGCAGAAGTTTTCGACACCCCTCCCCCTCCCTTCCCTGAGCCCCTTCCGTCAGTCCTATAGGGTGGGTGGACGTTGATGCTCAATAAGCTTGTCCGAACGATAAAAGTCGAAAAATCTCCACTAATATTCAAGGCTTTTTTTCTTCGTAGGTCCAACAATCACTGGACACTCTAAAGGAAGATCTAGACAGAGAGCATACTACTTCTCCCGCAAAAACCTAGTGAAGAGTACGCAGCATTTTACTTAAGTCAGAGACGAAAGGTTTGCTGTAAAAGAGGAAGGGTCTGGTACGAGGCACATCGATAGGCGGAACTGTGCGTGGAAGAGTTTCAAGAAGGCTTTGCTGAGTCAACAAAATAGTCTTCTCCACTTTGCCGTTAATATTTTGGCAATCCCCAAAACAAATGATCTTTTCGGAAAGGAAATGAATACAAATTATTTCTATTTTTCTCTAATATTGTTTTAGTATTTTCGGACAAAAACGGTACGTTGGTTATACATTTGTTTTCCGGTTAAACCGCGTTATTTGCACCGTAAGTTCTTCTGTAGATCAGCTTGAACGGGTGACTTTCTCATCCCTCTAACCCTCAAAATTGTAAATATGGTACAAGGAATTAACGTTTCAATGCATTCGCCAAGAAAGCAATTTACAAACGAAAACCTAGCCATGTTGTGTCTGTAGCATTCACTGACGGTGTGGTACGAAACCACATTTATTTACAATTCACAAGGTATTCCATTCTTTAATGGTTTTTAAACATAACAAAAAAGAAAGTATAGGTAATGCGAAAATCTGTACACACCTCCAAGAGAAAAAAAGGCATTCAATGCTGTCAACGTTTATTTTCTCAGTTCTGTTAAAGTCGTAAATGAAAAATGTAGTCCCCTTTCCTTAAAGGTCAATTAACAAAGAATAGTAGAACCTTGCCAACTTAGAGTTAGCGGGGTTCTACTGTACATAGCAGGATATGCGTTTTTATATGACTTCCTTGTTTTCTGATCTGCAAAACAGGACACACGCACCAAAACATAGTCAGTCAGTCAATCAATCAATCAATCAATCAGTTTATTAACGTCAGGACGTAGGTTAGGGTTGTTCTTACACCATCCGAGCCAGAGGCTCTTGTATAAAACGCATCATCGAGATCATAGGACGCAATTCAACGTTATTCGAAGACAGATTTGACCATCGACTTAAAAAAATAGAGGCGTTGATTTTAAGGTGGCTGGAAACAGTTTTTCGAGTCACCTACCGACTATATTCAAAGCGCTCAAATACCAACTCGCCCTCTTCACAATTGAACCAATTTAACACGTGTTTTGACCATAGTATTAAAGTTTGAAATAGTAGGCGTGGCATGGTAATCACTATTATTATGCTAGTGTTATGGGGAAGTCCCGTAAGATAGTTTCTGGGGACTCAGAAAACTGTTTCTAGCCACCTTAATCCAGTTTAAATTATGTAAGCTTTGCAAGTAAAAGAAAATCTTATCATATTGACACAAGAAAATGCGTATGTAAGTTACTGTTCAGAAATTAGAAAGTGTAATTCGAGGAAAAGTTAATTATACATACCTCTGAGGTTTTTGAATAAATTGCGAAATGATTTATATATAATGAGTAAGAAAACATTCCACAAAATTTCGGCTGAAAATTAAAACCACAAAATGTACAGAGAAAAAAATTGTCCCCAGTAGCGAAGAAAGCACCCTTTTAATTTGTGATCTCAAAGTTTCAGCTAGGCAGGGCGGTAGTGTTGTAACAGAGGAAATTCAATTTTTAGTTTTAACAAATTTTAGACAGGCGTGATTTTACAGATAAATTATACACCCTCTTATCTGACGAACGCCTTTAAATACTGTGGTGGTCATCTCCCCGCGACAGCCACGTGGACTTTTCCTCATAGACAGTCCAAGCATTCACTCTCCTCGCAACATCTCGACAGTGGCCATCTTCCCACAATACCACCGCAACGGCCGCTTAAAGCGCCTCCCAGCTGCTGAAATAAGTAGACAGCGAACAGTTGACAGCCAGTTATTAATAAATGACACGGATTTGTTACGGTAGGGAAAATGAAATGCTTTGTAAATATTTGATGTCAACCTTTGAGGCGAATTGTTACGAGCTGTCTTCTATGACATGTAAGAAAACAATGTTTAAAAAAGAAATTATTACTGCGTAAAAGTTTTTTTTAAATTCATAAAATACTTCAAATGTATTTGCAACTATCTTAAAACAATAAAATTTTGACTCTGCAATGGTCTTACTATTACTTTTCTTGTTTAAGGTTTTAGTTGTTTCGTTAAAAATTATTAAATGAGACGGTTTTTGCTTCGCGGCCTAGAATATTTTCTCGCCCATTGATTGTGAAAAAAAAATCAAAATTCTTTTCTGGGTTTGATTCTAATTACCACTTCTTTAAACTGGAACGCAAGCTCGAAGGGCGTCCAAGGAAAATGATTGATGCTTCATTACCTTAGATGCTTTCTTTGCCTGTAGAATCGGCACCAGGCAAAGGTGTGCGAATGAAGTACCTTTTCATATGGGGCCATTTGAGGTGGGGCTATTTACGAATTACTTCCGTCACGTGATATGTCCTTATTTGTATACTGGTTCTCAGCCGAGCGCGACACTATAGTAGAATGGCGGTCTTCGTTTTGGAGGGAAGTGAAACTCTACTCGGGGCTTTCTTGGGGAAATGCCTGCGGAAAACGCAAATTTTTATGTAGAAACTTATCATATAGTTATCTCTGAATGCATTGTGATGGTTTGGCTCTTCCTACATACTCGAATTTAGCCACGAAGGCGGCATTAGTTCAGGGCCAAGAAAGTCAACACGATCTGAAGGACATTTTACATGAATTGTTCCGGTAACGGCAATTGCTTTCTTCATGGCAGCACATAATAACGTGGTAAGAATCGTACTTCTTTATTTCCATGGACAGTGTTTCTTAGTAACTGTCATGGTATGTTCATTCAGTAGCAACTGGGCCTTAACTTCGTAAGCTCGTATTAACATTGGAAGGGAATTCCCGGTATACATACAAATTTTAATTTGTCAATTAGAAAGTTGCTACACACACCTTTCTCACGCCTTGAATAGCGTTATTGTGTGATTAAACATTTAATTCATTGAAATTTTAGGGCATGAAGGCAGACCCAGAACTACTCTTTTCAAAACTTGAAAGAATTGGCAAAGGCTCGTTCGGTGAAGTGTATAAAGGGTAAGTCGAAATTTCGGTTAATTTCGGTGTAGCTCCGAGCGAAGTTTCCTTCCTTGTGGATAATTTATTTTGGCGAGATCTTATAGCACTGTGTAAATGATATCAACCATGTGCTGCAAGGTTTTATACTTCTGTAGCACAAAAAAGTATATTTGCACAGAAGGTCAGTCGATTGTGGTCTGAAGATAACGTATCTTTTCAACGTGTTAACCAGAATGTAAATAATGATTCATTTTTTGCATGATAATGTTCCATATCTAACTTTCCTACATTTTCACTTTCGTCGAAATTCTCGTCAGCGGAAAAATTAGAAACAAATGCTTGCTTTTAGCTAAGTGAAATATCAGAGTAATACTATGTGTACATGAACGTATTTGGTTCTGTGAAGCTGATATCCACCGTTAGCAGTTTTAATCTGCATTATGATTTAAAATAATGACGCAACATTTGCTTGCAAAAGGAGGAAATCACTGTCATGGAATTTGAATTTGATAATGGTCTCCATTGCTTACCTTGCACTTGTTAGAATTTTGAGTCACTGTTTATGGTGCCTCACTTGTAAATTATCAGTTTTTTTTTTTTTTAAGTTTTCCCTTCTCAAAGATGTATACTGGTATATTGATAACTGGATTGATAAGTTGTTTCAGTGCCTGTGAGGTTCAACCATTTGAAGTAATGTTTTCATGTAAACTTTGATCAACCTTTTGCCTAAATTGTTCAAGTTACATAGAACTGTTGTTGTAGTCTCGTAAATTTCCGTAACTACTGAATCACGAGAGTGTGACAAGTCAGTTCATGATTAATGGCCACTCAAAGTGCATGCTAATCATTCCAAATAAGAGCACAATGAAACCAAACAAACACCAAATCTTAAGTGAAACACTTTCTTATTTAAGACAAACTTGTAAATTTGTCGGTGTCAGTCTAATACTCTGTCCGTTGAAGGGAGTGATCTGAGCATAACCTCTAACTACACAGAGCATTCTGCCTATGCCAGTTACTTGTGTAAATGTGAATGCTGAATATACCTACAGCAGTAATAATGGTTTCCCTTAGTTTAAGCATGACAAGTGAGAGAAATTTTCAAACTGCTTGAGCAATCCTTTACTTGTTGAACTCAAGAATTCCAAGTGGGTTTAGGCAGTAATTAGAGGTACTGCTGGTGATAAATTTTTACAGGATATCCCCCTTAAAAGGGAGCACTGCATTCAATTTAGAAACTGCTTGTATCTGGGTTTCTTTTCAATCTTATTATGCTCATTTTCCCATACTCTTTATCACAATCTGAACTTTTTCAACTTGGTTTGAAAATTCTACATTAAATGCAGATTTCAATATGTAACTTCATTCCCTCCACCTGTCTGTGTACTTAATTCTTTACTTTGTTTTGTTTTGACAGCATAGACAATAGGACAAATGCAGTTGTTGCCATAAAAATTATTGATTTAGAAGAAGCAGAAGATGAAATTGAAGACATCCAACAAGAAATTACAGTACTGTCTCAGTGTGACAGTGCATTTGTCACAAAATACCATGGTTCATATCTTAAGGTATATTTCTTTCTTGTTAGAGGTCACATATAGCTCTGTTTGATGTGCAATTTTTCTTTGTTTTAATAGTTCCAAACTTGTAACAAGGGGTAGTCTATGTTAGGGAAGATGGCTGAAAAAAAAAGTGAGAAAGAGTTGGCACAAAAATAAAATTGTAGAAAGAATGCAGTATTACTCCATACCCATGGCACATGACCAACCACTCAGCTGTCTGAAACTGTGACCTGCTAGTTTTCTATGCAACTAGTTGAAAATGGCTAGTGGCTAGAAGTTGACTGGTTTTTATCATCACGTGTTTTAAACCAGTACTTGAGGAGCAAATTTTGTTTCAAGTTGAAAAAAATCTCATAATAGTTTTCAGAAGAACTTGTACCTTCTGTAGCTAATATTTTCACAAATTGACCTCTAGACAATTGGCTTTATGTGCACTGTAACTTTGAAAGGGAAACAAGGCTCAGTAGAAAGCTGACTCAAAACAGAAAATTGTACTGGTAGCTTTTTCCCATGCTAATCAGGCCTTTGTGACAAGAAGAAAACACTGAAACATTGTTTAGAATGACAAGAAGACTTCCATTTTGATATTGATTGTCATTAGACAATAGTGCAATAAGGCTTTTTATTCATGTTTGAGCCACAGCATGGTTCTTCTTCTGAAGAAATAGACACTTTGATTCCTTAATTCAAACTATCTGTCCTGGATGGCAAGGAGTGTGGGTGGTTTGCCAACACCAGTATAGTTTATTTAGCATGTCTTTTTGTTACTAGGGAACAAAGCTATGGATTATTATGGAATATCTTGGAGGAGGATCAGCTTTAGATTTGGTAAGGAAGATGTACTTTAAGAGTTCATTCTATACTTCTATATTTCATACATGTAAACAAATTTCTTGTGGCATAAATGCATCATAATGTTTTTAATGTACGTATACAACAACACTAACGAGGTCAACATCACATCATTATGCAGTATTAACATCTCAAAATTGCAATCAGCTCTCAATACCATTTGTTATAGTTTAGTAGACAACATACAATACAGTAAGCTTTTAATCATAGTATGTGTGAAGTCTTTAATGTAATACATAGGTATCTTGCTCGTTCAACTGTCTGTTTATTGATCTTTTTTTACACACATCCCAGAATTCCCAAATTTGCTAGATTAGGTTGTTTAGGTACCATGCAATCCTTCTCAGTTAACTCTCTTTCCTTCTGTTAAGACCTTGCTCTTCTCAGAAATATGTTGAGATATTTTACTGGAATTGTATGGTGCACTTTCCCATTTTGTCTGTTCAGCTGTACAAAAAATTCCTTGCTCTGATTTGTTTATCATTAGATGAAAGCTGGCACATTTGAAGAATTTTACATTGCAACTATCATTCGTGAGGTTCTAAAGGGCCTTGATTATCTCCATTGTGAAAAGAAGTTGCATAGAGATATTAAAGGTATGTCAGGATTATCCATGAATAAAGTTTCATGTACAGTATTTGTATATAAAGTGTATCTTTTCCTTTTCTAATCAATGCATTAGTAGGTGTTATGCAGCTGTTTTGATCCATTTTTTGATAGTTGTCTGAAAGGTTGTTCATTTCTTGTTTACTTAGCGGCTAATGTGCTGATGTCAGAAAATGGTGATGTTAAGTTAGCTGACTTTGGTGTGGCTGGACAGCTCACAGACACATTAAACAAAAGAAATACTTTTGTTGGAACACCATTCTGGATGGCTCCAGAGGTGATCAAACAATCTGCTTATGACTCAAAGGTATAATTGCTTTGCTTGTCTTTATCTCAACTATAGTATGCTTACACTGTAAGATTTGTCTAAAGTTGGACTTATGCGCAGCTGTACACACATGCCAATTCCATAGTTTGATGTACGTTTTCCAAAATAGACTAGCTTTTCTCCGCAATTTTTTAAAGAATCTGATGTAAAAAATTAACTGTATTTAACTCTTGAATTTGCATGTGCGTTTTAAACAATTGCCTAATAATTCCGTGAATTAACTCTACAACTCCTAAGATCTGATTGTTAATTCTCCCCTTTAGCTGTTACACATGTCCTTGTGAAGTATTCAGAATTTGGAGTAAGATCAAGTGAAGAACTTCTACCTGATAATATTGAATGTTCTCATTACTATTTGTTGGGTAATGTTTGGATATGATAGGAAGAAGTTACATGTTTATCACTTATGGGAGTTAAAAGGTTAATGTTAAAAAAATATATTTTTTTGTAGGCTGACATCTGGTCTTTGGGAATTACTGCAATTGAACTTGCGAAAGGAGAACCTCCTAATTCAGATCTTCATCCCATGAGAGTTTTATTTTTAATACCAAAGAATAACCCTCCAGAACTGACTGGAAACTTCAGCAAAGCATTTAAGGAGTTTGTTGCTATGTGTCTTAATAAAGATCCCAGTGATGTGAGTGTATTTTGAACCATTTGATTCCCTAATCAGAAGGGTTTTGCTATACAGGCCTGTTTCTCGTGCTCTACTGACGCTCACAAGGCCCTATAGAGTCATCAGTAAAGACATTTGCCTTCGTAAAGCAATGGGATACAACATGTTTATGAAAATTATTGAAGGTTTTCTTTCAGTATTTTTCATAGACTCTCTTGACAGTTTTACAGAGTCCATTTAGTACAAAGTGCACTGTGGAAGGGAGAATACTATGTAGTGTGAGATACTATTCTTACTGAACACTTAAGTGAAAATGAAGGAAGAAAAATGGATCAGCATTCCATCTTCAAGGCGAGATAAAATCACAAAGCTAACAAAACAATAAAGAAAGAAAAAATAACAGTGACAAGGAGGCCAGAGATGTGTGCTCTTTTTCAAGAAGCTTTTATCATTTTTAAACATGTAAAACGTGCACCATGTACCAGAAAATTTATCCTAAGCATTTATTTGTCCACAGAGACCTACAGCAAAAGAGCTTTTAAAGCACAGATGGATTCGAACTGCAAAGAAAAATTCATACCTAGTGGAATTAATAGAAAGGTATAAAAACTGGAAACAGAAATGTAGAGATGATGATGATAGCAGCTCAGGAGAGGAAAATGAAGAGTAAGTCATTTTTCTTAATTTGTCATCTTTTCACCTTTGCCATTGAACAGAATACAATGTATATGTGTGTTGTGGTATTTTTAATTTAGTAATTTCAGGTAGATGGCACATTGTTGTTTAGGTTGGAAATTTGTAATCAACCTCTTTTCACCAAAGTGCCTCTTAAATATGGTCAAAAGAGAAAAAAAAATGGCCAAGTTAGGGGTAGTAGTTTTTTTACTGTTACTGTGGTCATCTTTTACAGAGATGGAAACAGTTCTGGGGGAACCTCTAGGTGGATTTTCCCTCCTGAGAAAAATCCTTTTGTTGGAGGAGAAGGTGAATCATCACTCAGTCATGAAAATGACCCCACAGCAGCACAGTTGAATAACACAAATACTTCTGAAGTAAGTTTTCTCCGTCTTCTCTGTTGTGTCTTACTACTGTATTTATACTCATGACATTTCAATTTTATGAGGTAACAATGACACTCAGAGTTCAGATGGGTCCTGGAAAACCCGAATAGTCCTGGAATTTTATTTCGACATTTTGCAGGACTTGAAAGTCCTTGATAAAGACTACGGGTGTGAAAAGTCCTTGAAATATGTTTAATTCAAACACTAATTTTTTTTCAAAATTTACATTATTGACATTACATTTTGAAATATTTGGAGATTAAAGGTTTAAGGTGAAATTTGGAGTCCCTGTAAAATCAATCTGAGTCCTGGAAAAGTCCTGGAAATTTGTTTCTGAAAAAGGGTACAAACCCTGCAAGAAAATACTGCCTTCAACAGCACTATTGAATAACAACAAAAAAACACCCCAACCTCTACCAACCTCAAAACTTTAATTCAACTGAAAAAAGTGATTTTTGTACTCATTTTGTTTTGGCAAATGTTACTACTGTGAAACTTATTTTAAGGGAAAGGACAGTCAAAGTTGATCCAAATATGTTGGAGTCCAAATAAGTTGCACTCCTTTTTTGAGGTACAAGTACTAACCTTGCTTTTGTGTTTCAACTTTTAGGTACCAAAAGACAAAAGTAAAGGAGAAAAACCTCCATCAAAATATTTATCAACCGTTTTGTTACCAACACTGACCAAGGTATGCATATGCAACCTTTTTTTTTTTTACTTGTCTTGCATAACATTCTCTACAGCATTGCTACAGGATGATCAGTCTCTCTCGAGGAATTAGGTTATTTAGCCAACACCTTAGATCGAGAGGGAAACTGTAGGAGAGATCTTAGTGTGAATTAACTGATTCCATACTGGTAATTTTGTTGGGGAAAAACTATTCATTCTCATTGGCTGAGTGAATTGCCGTTCTCAGATAGCACAATGTACAAGGGAGGTATTTCGGTTGAAGAGAAGGTAACAAACTGGTTAGTAGGGCTTTGAAATTTTTCTTGCAGCTAATGAAAAAACACGTTGAGAGAATTGATTTTTTTATGGAACACATTCGTTTTGACCGAACGCCCAACTACATTTGCTGGGTATGGACAAAATTATTTTTGTGTGTTACTGGCGTGCTTTGCTTCTGCATACTTATGAAAAGCTATCTCAACATAACAAAAATAACAAGCGATTACTTGATTTTTCTTGTGCAATTTGGAACAAATGAGAACTCTTAATTTTGTTTAAGACTACGGATTGCACTCACCCTACGGGCTCGTGGAATTTTGTTTTTGTCTTAGTGGTTATTTTTTCTAATTGCATTTAAAAGCCTGTGATTTACTGCTTATATGTAAATTCCCAAAATTAAAACTTCGGTCTTGTCTTAAACACGGCTCGAGTTTAAATATGGAATTACATGTAATAACCCTATGTTATTCATTATGAGAGTAAAGAAATCTTAGTGACAGTGTTCGTGTTATTTTCTTTCTGCAGCTAAATAAAAGTCAAGGTGGCCAGGGACGATCTGTAGAGCATCTTATGGATGCATTTAAATCAATAGAGACGACCTGTCCAGGCTTTAGTGACAACTTTGTAGAAAAGATTGTAGAGAATGTAAAACGGTCTAAAAGGTCAGTTGTAGGTTTGGTATTTTGCCATCTGACAGAATTATCAAGGTTGATTGGACCTGAAAATGTGCCCGTACAGTCTATACTTCTTCCGCTGGGTTTAAGCTGCATTTACACTTGTCATTGGCAAGGGGATTGTTCTTGGAAAATTTAGCGTGGTGTCCCTATCTTTAAACTAAGCTACCAGATTTTTAGGAAGGTTTTGAGGGAATTTATTACATTTGGTAAACTGATGTGTCCCCTGCAGTAGCAGTAACCCAGCACATAATGACAGGAACATGACCAACGGGCCGAACTGAACGACGAAACTTTACCGACGGGTCGAAAACGACCAATCTCAATTGAACACATCTCCTTTAGTCACATACACAATGCCCAGTAACGTTGCTACAAAACCAATGAATCAGTCTTTGCAAACCAGAATTGACTCTGATGATGACTTCCGTCCAGGTTGTCAAAGCGTCAGTCACCGCATCAACGGACATCAGTCCGAGAGGTTTTTTTTTTTGAGGGTGGAGTGGGTGGGGGAGTTTATTGGAAAGTTAATGCTCTAGCCGGGAGGTGCGGATTAAACCGAATCTGACTTAAAGTTTGGTCATTCTACAGGTGATAACAAGATCAAGAACAAGAACGCAAGGGACCACTTTGAACAAGTCGCGCGATCACTTCATCAGCTTTAACTTATTCCTTGTTAAAAGAAAACATAACTTTTATCACAGAACGTTTTAGAAAGAGAAATTGTACAGTCTAGCGTATCGCTTTTTTTTTTTTTCATAAAGTCGAATGAAAGTAATAAACCAATCCTAAATAGAGTTTAACACGTTTTGTAAAAAGTTAATCAGTAATCAAGAATGCAAAGAAATTCTAGATCACAGTATTTTAGGTGTTCTTTGCTTAGATTTCAGCTTTGGAAAAAACAAAAACATTTCTTAGCTTTGTTTTGTGTATTCTGTCGCCATTGCGCCATTTAATTGTTTCTTTGTTTGCTCATGAAAGAGCACTGAAGATATGTGCAGCCTCTCACTATCATCAGTCCAGGGTTTGAAATCTTTGTAAACTTTTTCTTTAAAGCATTTCTATTTTGTTCGTATATCATTCAGACACCATTACAACAGTTTTGGTACAACATGTAAGATGTACTTTGTAATGCTTGCGTCACGTAACAGCTCAAGACCCTTGCTGTCTGTTATTACCCAAACGAAACATGATCACCGAAATAGCTTGTTTTCTCCTGGGTTTGTACCCCTCCAATGTGAGATTAAAAATTAGAGTTGCGAAGGACTGCAAGAGATCAGAAGACGGGAAAATAGTAAAGATAATGAGGGTTAATATTTGCTAAATACTGGTAGTGTTTGCAACACTTCTGTTTAAAATTCTTGATCGTCAGTAATAAAAACTTCTTGATGTCTCCACGAGTTTCTGCACGTTGGTTATACAGCGTGCTAACTTTTAATTATGAAAGTAAGAAATACCAAATACTTTGCATTTTACAAATTTCTTTGAACAAGGCGAATTGTTCAGAAATCGTGAATAACATTTCCTTTAACTGAATGCACAGCATCTAAAGACTGTTTGGTCGTGGTTGCTGTCGACACGTGAAGAGTGGCAAGATGGGCATGATTCACTTCATGATAGCAGCCTTACTCTACTTAAATGGGAGAGTCTTTAAGGAAAGAATCTGTAGATCCTTCCACTCTCTAGTGGAGTTAAATTATTGGGTGTGCCGGATTGCCTGGGTCAGGTAACATGAAAATATGATAGCACTTGCTAACAGGGAAAATCCAGAAAAAAATGAAGTGAATTTAGGCACTACCTTCTGGCGCCTTCACACTGCTTCAGCTTTTCTCGGTTTCAATAGCATGAAGCGACTGGAAGTTTTGCAAATGCTACTTCTACCATTTCGTCAAGTATCCCTAAAAGTTTTTTGGTAACTATTAATACTCTTGGCACTTGCTAACAGGGAAAATCCAGAAAAAAATGAAGTGAATTTAGGCACTACCTTCTGGCGCCTTCACACTGCTTCAGCTTTTCTCGGTTTCAATAGCATGAAGCGACTGGAAGTTTTGCAAATGCTACCTCTAACATTTCATCAAGTATCCCTAAAAGTTTTTTGGTAACTATTAATACTCTTAGGCGGAGAATTGTATTAAGAAAGTAAAATGTTTTACCCAAGAAAAGCACCGCGAAAAGTTTGATGGTAACTATTAATACTATTAAGCGGAGAATTGTAATGGGAAAGTAAAGTGTTTTACCCAAGAAAATAACGCAATAAATGGAAGCCAATAAACCGGCCTGCTGGTTCAGTACATCGGCTTCGCGTCCTCGACGAAATAAACGAATCTCGGCTCAGCGAAAGCAATGCATGTGGAGAACAAATTCTCCTAGTTAGGAAAATTCAAAGGATTGCAATTTGAGGTATGATCGAGACAAGGAAACCTATTTTTCTATCCACACCATCCGCTCTTTGCCCTCGGTAGTACGTGATAGCAAGTACTGAAGCTTCAAATGCCAACTTGATTATCTTATAGAGCAGTACCATATCTTAAAAAGAAACCTCGTGCTGGAAAAAACGTAATACATATTCTGGTATTCTACACTTTATTCTGGTTGCACCTATGCAAAATTTTGAGTATCAAACATGTGCCTTAGAGGAAATTTAAAATAGGCAGACAGAGCTGAAGTTTTCTTAAGTCTATTGTTCGTTATCGAAGCTAAAATCCTAACTATCCTCGTTCTTCTTCGTTTACTCTTACCTCTTTGAGTTTTCTACCGAAGCAGGTAGAAAATTTGGAGGAGTAAAATCTGATTGAAGCAAACGAGTCTTGTCAGAAGTCCTTCTCTGAAATTGGTGGTCAATGCAATTCCATAATTACAAGTAGGTTGACACATAACTCAAAATTCTGGCCTGTTCATTATAGAGCAGGTTACAACAATTATCCTCCTCCCTTTACAACAATATTCAATGTATATTTGCCACCTAAAACTAAACCGTTTAATGTCTGTGGTACCAAATAAATCTAAGCTTTAGTGTCGGAGCTACTCATTGCACTTTCAAAAACAGTTATTGGGCAACAAAAAGAGTGTATAAGCATTAACTATTGTCTTCATTTTCTGCCACACCTTTTTCAGCTTAGAAAGGGCAATATGATTCTTTCTCATGGCAAATCAAAGCAAATAAAGTGATGCCTAACATTTCACACTAAGCGTTGACAAAAATGCTCTCTTAAATGACCAAGCATGGCAGTAGTACAAGTCATCTAAGTCTTCCATGAAATGGCTGTATAGTGGCATGAGAGCACATAATAAAAATACAACAGCAATTCTGAGGCCAGTAGTTCTAGTTTTCTGAGTAGAGTTTAATGTAACACAAGTAAAGAGATGGTACTTATACTCAACATGCAATTTTGTCCTGAGACGTTACTGCAGCAAGTCCTCATAATGCAAAATAAGGTACCACATTTATGGATCCCTTTCCACTTGCAGAGCTGCCTTAATTTACTTTAGACACTAACCATCCATGGGGAATGTAATGGACTTGTATGTTGCAGACTATTAAGATGGCACCAAATCTCAGAAGGCCCAATCATGCCCACATTTCAAAGCCTTTGCACCACACAAGCAGTGTGTCCCATATCAGTCAAGAATGTTAGGTGAGAAACATCCTCTGGTCCTACCCATCCATAAGGTCCAAAAATGTCTACACTCCAAGGGCTTCAAGACTGAACAGCTTTTTCATTGCTTGCAGAAATGCTTTCCTTCCAAGACTAAAATATGTAGAGTGAACCATCCTCTGGTCCAACATATCCTATAATGATGAGTATAAGGTCCACAAGGGTCCATACTCCAAGGCCCCCAAAGCTAAACAGCTTTCCAAGACCCTCTCTCCAATGTCCCAAATAAAAGCGATCCACACCAAAGCCCCCTAGAGTCAAGCTGCAAATGCAAATATGACAAATTTGAAAGTCAAATTAATTTTACAATAACTCAATACAATTAAATGTTGGTGAAATCAATGCCCTCCTTACCATACAAAGACCCATGGTTAGAGTATGTGGCCTCTCACAAATCAGTTCCAAAAACTGAAACAGGGATGATTAATTTATGCTGTCCATACTTTCCCCTTTCATTCCATTTTCCATGACTACAGACAAGGCATATCACTCCAAGGTCTCTCTGAAACCTTATTGTAAACCTTCTCTGACATAAGTCTTATTTTTCTTTTCTTCACAATAGCAGCAATTCTTAGCCCTGATTCTCTCAAAAGGATAATCACTAGTCTCTAACCTTAATAATACAGCAGTTGACCACCTGTATCCTGATGTCCAGTTACACAACAGTGATTTTGAGAATGTACGATTACCTAGTCAAGATGAAAGAAAAAAAAGATATCAAAAGTAATTCTGTTGACTGTACAATCTTGGTCTATACTCTTTCTTTTGTGAATGCATAAGCCATGCTTCTAATTTTTCCTTTGTTTTAAATTATTTACACTAGTTTTGAGTGTATAAATTAAGAGACAAAACTTTGTTCAAATTCATTTATTGTTAAAATTTTCACCTGAATGTTTATTTCAGCTTTGAATGTAACCTCCTTTCATTGAAACTGCAATCTACTCAGGAAAATCTAGCCTTAAATATTGTACTATTGTTTGCAAAATAGATTTGCTTTTGCCTCGTGACATATCTGTGCAAACATTTTTACATAACTTCCTTAATGATTTCCATATCTTATATGATTATCAGAAGGTAAATATTATCTACTACATAATTGGTTGAACTGCAATCTTACATATGTCATTTTACTTTTATCCATAAATTTGTTTGTCTGCTTGACTGTTTGAAAATTCTATAATTTATCATTTTGAATTCATCATTTCTAACCGAGCAGAAACAGAGCAGTTCATTTAAACTCAAAGTTACTTTAACAACTCACCAAGACAGAGGACGTCGTCCTTTACAGTACAGTTTGTTTTGTACCTTTCTCTTGGACTGGAAACCACCTATATCAGACAAAGAAGATTCAAAATTAAATTTCTTTAAGCTCTTCAAACTTAAAATAAAAAGAATTACAAAACAGGTGAAAGAACAGTGCACAGAAACATTACACTGGTTTACATTGCAGAGGTCCCTGTATTGTATACAACTGATGGACAAAGGCAATCTGTTTAATGCTAATAAATAAGATGCATGATTAGGTTTTAGAAATATAATGACAAAGTCAACTTTCTTTGCCTAAGACCATCCTTATTCAACACTCATCAGGAAACTAGGCTTGATTATTGAGTATTGCTAGTCAGTGTGTAGATGAGGGTATTGCTCTTCTTGTATGCTACACATGTACTTCTACATTTTACTTTATGGATTTGCTTTTAAAAGGTTAACATGAAGTTCTTACCTTGCAGCCTGACTGTTTTTCACATTCATATCGATTAGTTTGCAGTTGATAACAGTACTTGCAGGTGTAAATTTTCTTGAAAGTTCGAGGTCCCTGTCAATGAATCCATTCAATTTTTTTTAATTCTAATAACACAATTTGTTCTATATTTTCTCTCTTAGATCACTAGGAATACCTGAAACACTGGTACTGTTAAACTAAATATCCTTTTTTCATTTATCAGTTCAGGTTTTATTTGCTCATGAAAGTAAAGACTAATACTTATTTACCTACAATCGAATAAATTACTTCATTGATCGATTGACTGATTCAGTATAATTCAGTTGATTACTTCAACAATTAAATAGAATTTAATCAAGCTATTACTCTTAAATATATCTTATTGCTACTTATAAAAATATGTTCTCATTAAGAAAGGAAGCGGTACTTTCACATGTGTACAAGCATACCTAGCTAATACGTACCCTGCATTTGATCGAGCTGTACACCACACATTGTGCTTCTGTGTCTTTCCCATATATACACGAATAGTTCATAGTACAATTAATGCAAGAAGCACCGAGATCACGACAGTAATGTCCATCAGGACACTCAAAAATCTGCAAATCAATTTGTGATGAACCGTTCTCAGTTGCTGTTTGTGTAGGCGAAACTGACATTAAAATTGCAACTGATTGTGTACTTGAAACTGTAACTTGAATAGCTTGCGTAGCCTCGATACTTCCTTGGGCAAAAATTTTGTGCTGAAGAGCAATAATATCAATTATAAAAGCAGCTACAAGATGAAAATAAACCATTACGAAGTCCGCCATATTTTTCTGCTTAATAGAATGCGAAAAGTACCGGGCACGAGTAAGCTCTACTGGCCCCGAGAAACCCACGTGACTATTATATCACTTCCAAGATGGTGGGTGAACCTGCGACTTCCTCTTGTTTTTAGTTTCTAATTGACGGAGGGTAATTTAAATTAAATTGTGAGGATCTCTTCTCTAATTTTATCCAGGCCGGGGGAATGGATCTCGCGAAAAAGCTTCCCAAAATCAAAGATCAGGAGAAAGAGAGCAAGTTTGGATATGTATTCGCTGTGTCCGGACCCGGTGAGTGAGGACGCCATCAAATTCTCAAACTTCGCCAGCTTATTAAATATGCAGCGCAATTCCTCAATCTTTCCTTACTGTATATTGTTATGTTCTGTTCGCCTAAATTAATCTGTCATTTTTTTTGTAGTGGTCACGGCGGAAAACATGAGCGGAGCTGCCATGTACGAACTGGTACGTAAGTATAAAACACTCTCTGGCATGTAACCAACTCACAAAATCGAACACCAAATTAAGTATTGATATAACTCTGGTGATCCGATCAAGAATAAAAAACATATCCATTTGAAAAAGATCAATTTATGCACACCTCCTCGTCGTCATATTTGAAATTCTTTTTTGATGTAGACGTTTCCTGGGAAAAAAATTTTATGAACTGTTGGCTTTTTCTGGAAGAACCTTCAGCTTTTCCATCTTATTATACAGGCTTGGTCTAATAGCTTGTGGGTGTACCACAAACTTCGCCATAGCTTCTGTGGATTTCCTGGGGAATAAATAAATAAGAAACGGGCTTAATATTCAATGGAATTATATACCTTCCAGTAAGAGCAAAAGCAACACTCTTTATTGCATCACATTGAGCTGTGACGCTTGAGAGCCCTTATATGCATTGAGATATAAGCATGAAACTGAGGCCATTCCTTGAAATTGCAACACTGCCCCTCTTACCTGGTGTCATACTTGAATGATCTTTGAAAATAAAAAAATATGATCATTCTGTATGATGAAATTAGACAAATTAACCCTTTACACCCTACCTGAGTATGCATATTCCCCATATTCCCCAATGAGAATTAGCTTAACAATCCAGAACTTCTGTAGTTGTTGATCATTTCCATTATTCTCATGATGTTAGTGTGTGATTCAGGGATGATATTGTAAGAAGAAATTAGATGCTAGCCACTCTTACGGGTCAAAGGGTCAACTAGCATATTTACCCCCCATCCCCTTCCTAGCTAAGTCAGTGTGTCTTTTATATGTATTTCAATTACCAGGTTATTTTCTTGGACAGGGTAATGATACTGTATCTACTGTTAGGATGCCAGGAGTGAGATTGTCTAGGGAGAGTACAAGAACTAGGTTGATTTTCAAGGAATTAACAGAAATGCTGAGATCTCTACATGTTAGAGACAGATTGGCTCAAATCCTAAATCATTAGTAATAAAGTATATGATTTCTTAATGTTTTATTTTCTCATTAAGGTTCGTGTGGGACACAGTGAACTAGTGGGAGAGATAATCCGTCTCGAGGGTGACATGGCTACAATTCAAGTTTATGAGGAAACCTGTATCCAAGTTACTTGTATATGTCTTATTCTGTTCGCTAATTTCTGGTTGATTTATTTGTCTAGGGTATTATTTTGAAGCTTTGCCTTAGGCAAGAGTCCTTTTTTTGTGATTTGTTAGCTGGAAGCTTAGAGATGGTAAAAGACTTGGCATAATTTGTCCATAAATCATCTATAAATTGTGATTGCTGTGCAATGAGTGGTATCATTGTGATTTGAGTTGAGGCTTTGTGTTGCCTCTCTGTCTATGTGTTATCAAGTATCTACAGTGTTTTACAGAGCAAACCAAGTTGTACCTTAACAATTCTAACAGCTGGTGTGACAGTTGGTGATCCTGTGCTTAGAACTGGAAAGCCTCTCTCAGTTGAACTGGGTCCAGGTAAGATTTGTTCTTCTAGATACCAAGACAGTGACCAAGACATACTTTCTCCTCACAATATCAATACATTATCAAGCAGACAAGTAATAAGAATAAGGGAAAATATCAGTTAGGGAACTATTGTCAGATCCAATACCAAATTCTCCATACTGACATCATAAGAACTGTATAGCAGACAGTAAGGAGAACTACTAGCGAGATCTTGGGGTTGAAAGAGTTAAAAGAGATCTTGCTTTAAATTTTTCTCTTTTTTAAATTATGACCAGGTATTCTTGGAAGTATCTTTGATGGAATTCAGAGACCACTCAAGGTATGAGTTGACTCTAACTATCAGAAGTGATTCATATTAAAGTTGTTCTAACAATATCATTACATTATCCAGTAAACAGGTAATGAGATTGGGTAAACTTATCATAAAGATGGTATAATCTTAATGTAATACCAAATAGAAGTCTCTTGGAAATGTGTAGTGAACAGCTTGAAGAGAAAGGTACCAATCAACACTTGAGGAATGAAAAAATTAATTCTTGAAACCACCATGTGTAGCTCCATGTCTCTTAATTAGCCATATTTCCTTATTATTAGCCAAGCCTTTTCTTTTCAGTTTTACATCGTACATGTGAACAGCTCCACACCTTAAAATTTGGTTTTATCAGCACATGGTCAATTGTCACTCTGCAACATTGTTGAATTTGCTTCTGCCCCTGAGCTTAGCCATTTTGAAGGAAAAATTAGAATACAATGTAGTTGTGTTAGGCATATCTCACCACAAGGCCTCCTGTTTTATCTCAGGACATTAATGAAATGACAGAGAGCATTTACATTCCTCGTGGTGTCAATACAGATGCTCTTAATCGTAGTGTTTCCTGGGATTACAAACCAGAAGGATTCAAGGTAATCTTTTTGTTGTTGATGTTGTGGTTGCTGATGATAATGGCAACAGCAATGACATTAAGGGTGCATTGATATCTGATGCATATTCCGGTCAAGTTTCATCAGATCCGACAAATCTTCACAGTCTAATAATTTGTTTAAGTAGAGTGAACTAGTATAAAATCAAACCATGAGTTTTTGGCTTCAAAAAGACTCTTTCAGCTGTATCTCATCTTCTTTTTAAGATTTTATAATTTTATTTTTAGCAAAATAAGCGTTAATGCTTTCTCTACCTTTAGAGAGAAAAAACAGAATTTGAACATTATGATCAGATTTTGTTGACTGTAACCTTTAGTGAAATTTGAATCTTTTTATGTATGTCCTATTGCCTGTCACTCCTATCCATTCATCTGTTGCAAGCAAAGAAATGATCATTGCATGTGGACTGCAATTAAAGTAATTGCAGAAAACAAGCCTGAAAACAATACAATGTAGGCTTCATCAGGACTCAGACCCATGCCTCCCAGATTCTACATGTAGTTGGGCACTACAACCGAGCTATGAAGCCACACACTGGGAGCAATGCAAATTTTAGAGGGTTAGTCTTTCCCATAGGGGAATCTGATCACAACTTTTTAATGAAGGAGGACTGCGATCTGCAAAGAATTACCGTTTACTTTTTTGTTATTCACAGATTGGAGACCACATCACAGGAGGGGATTTGTTTGGTATTGTACATGAAAATACTTTACTAAACCATCGGCTTATTCTCCACCCCAAGGCAAGGGGAACAGTCACATATATTGCACCTCCAGGAAACTACAATATTACAGTAAGTACAAAGAACTGACAAATGTAAGGTAACCTTTGAGAACTGAAAGATGCATTGCATTAACTTTTCATTAGTAACTGCAGTCATGCAGAGAGAGAGAAGATATTAATTCTCAGAGAATAACTTCGGTACCAACATTAGAAAATAAACGTAACCTCAAGGTTTTTTCTTTTAACCAAAGGATGTTGTGATGGAAACAGAATTTGATGGAGAGAAGACCCAGCATACTATGTTGCAGGTGGGTTTGTTTCTGACCAGGATGTAACATAACCTATGTGTAATCGTTTAGGAAAACTAACTTGCATATGCTCAGGATTATTAAAAGAGAGGCAAATTGGCCCTCCCCAGCTTGTAGTAGGATGCTGCAGGACAAATCTGTCATAGATCTTTAATTCCACATGATGTGTGTACTGTAAGAAATAATGTAACTGCTTGTGACACCTTTCTGAGTGACAGTAAAGAAATGAAATCTAGCTAGATCCTTGATTTTGGTAAAGGTTGGTGATGTTAATTCACAAGAACCTTAAGCAATTCAAAGAGTTCAAAGTTTCAGAACTTTTTTTCAGATTTGGCCTGTGAGACAAATGAGACCTGTTTCAGAGAAGCTGGCAGCCAATTACCCTCTGTTAACAGGGCAAAGAGTTCTTGATGCTCTTTTTCCGTAAGTGCGATGTAGATGTATCTGTTTACTTGTTAGAGAATTGATCACTGGTTATATGAGGACTTGGATACATGCAGTGGGGAGACTTTAGTTTGAACAATAACAATCAAGCATTAATGGAATTTTTAGCGTGCTAGCAGGCCTTCATTATTAGTGCCAAAAGGGGCACTTTTTCTGCCCTCTGGAAGATTAAGACAATTCAGGGAGAGGTTTGGTCACAGACCATTTGCGGGGTTGTGTTTCCGAAGGCCTCACTTTCCAGCAAAGAAAGAAATGCTTGCACTAAAATGTGTTTATAACAAGGGCCTTCATATGGAATTGTTAGCTTGGATAACTAATTGGTATTGAGGTGTTTTTTAACCTCAGTGCCTCAATTTCTAATGCTCTTCTTTTAAATTTTTCTGAAATACTGGACAATTTTTTTGTATCAGTGCAGTTCAGTACCCTAAAGGGAACTTAAGGCAGCCTCTTCCCTGTCGTATTTATTGGTTTGTTTTTCTCAAATCTCATTACTTTTGTTCCAGTATGTGAATGATGAAAATAGCCACTTAGTTTTGATTTTACTAACTGAAAGTGATGTATGATTTAAATCTTGTAATTTAACATTTTCCAGGTGTGTTCAAGGTGGAACTACAGCTATCCCAGGAGCCTTTGGTTGTGGTAAAACTGTTATCTCCCAGTCCCTCT